GGTAACATATGGGGTAGTTATAGGGTAACATATGGGGTAGTTATAGGCTTATTACAGGGCAACATACTGTGTAATTAGAGAATAACAAACAGGGCATTTACAGGGTACCTACGAGATACTATACGGGGTAACTAATGGGTAACATCCAGGAAATTACAAAGTACTTTTGTGGGGGCAGCGGTGTTTTAAGTTACCCAATAAGTACTCCTTAAGTATCTTGTATGTTACCCCATAAGTTCAAGGCAACAAGCCACTTCATAATACAACCTGGTCCCTGAAGTTACTCTACATGTGATTCTGTAAATACTTTGTAATTAACCTGTATGTTAGTCTGTAATTACTCATATGTCCCCCCGAAGGTACTGGTCTGTAATGTGTACCTACCCATTCTGACCACATCAGGGATGATGGTAATCTCCAAACACACAGTCTGACCTGGCCTGAGACTGCCAGATGACGGAGACAGTGCACACAACTTCTGGTCTTCAGTGCCCTGAGCCAGCGCTAACATCCCACTGCAGTCAAACCACCAGTGCACACACTCTCGTGTGATAGCGCGCCAGCAAACACTCTCTTCACCCACTGCTTTCAGCTCCACATTCTGCCAGCAGAGAAAAGGAGCATGGAAACAGAAACACTGAAAACAATGTAAGATTCTGGTCATATTATTATATATTAGGTGTTTGACAGGATCAGTACCTTGGAGAAAGTGTCAAACTGAGGCTCCACATTAAACTGTAAGCTTGAGGGGGACATTTCTAGAGGGGCATACAGGGCTAAACACACAGCAGTGAGAGTAGTTTAAAGTTTGATACAGTTTTTACTCATTGACACAAATTGACCTCAATGACCCCACCTGTGGCTAGGATCCACGGTGGCTGCTGTGTTGCCTCAGCGACAGAGTGAGGATAAGCTTTGATGTGTTTCCTGCTGTTAGCTTTCAGTGATGGAGACGTGGATGAGGACGATAGGAAGGGGCAAGACGATAAAGAATCAGCGGGCCATTTCGCTCCATTGATCATCAGAGGCAGGTAAAAGTTATGGCTGGCCACCTGCAGGGAGATAAATTTTTTTTTATGGCCCTTCTTATATATATATATATATATATATATATATATATATATATATATATATACACACCCAAAAACATGTTATTTGTGTCACATACTAGAAAACTAGGTGAATAAACAAACAATTTTGTTGAAGAAATATTAACATTAGGTTTGCTCATTACAGATTGTGCAGTATCTTAGCAGCAAATAAACCCACACTTTTAAGCTATTTTCTAATTTTTATATCTGTTTTGTTGTGTTTAAAATACTAAAATAGAATCACTATTTAAAAATCTGCATATAGTGTTATGATGGTATGAAAATAATGTTACTGTTAGCAAAAAGTCTATATAAATTAATTACTGAGCCATTTGAAGTGAATTTATGTGTAAAGGTTATGAAGAATTAATATCTTATCTGGTGCAGATAGCTTTTTGTTGGTTTGGAGAAGTAGTTTTATTTCTGACAGGATCGACAAGCTAATGTCTAGACAGAACGTGGCCAAACCCAAAGTGGATTGTTGTCGAAACAGTTACTGACCCAACGTTTATTGGTTACTTGCAAGTGTAAATAGCAGCAGCAGCTAGCTTTAGCATTTTTTGTGAACTCCATGTGACGTCACGTGCGCCACGGTGTGCACTGACGGGAGCTCCACTCCGACTCACTCTTTTTTGTTTCTGTTGTTTTAACTTTTTTTGCCCCGACACTGCACACTCATGGTATGGGTATGACAGCAATGCACTTTTGGAGTTTTGGGTCGCTGCCTTGCCATCGTGGTTCAGTTCCCGGCCCCCTTTTAGTCTCGGGTTCAGGCTCCGGACTGTCCTGGCGGCAGTCTCCATGATCCTCCATCTGCCTGCACAGACCCAACTCTATGGAACAGTTCGGTTCCCCGAGGAAACCTTGGATGTTCCGTGTCTGCCGGACCCCGTTCTGGACGGCAGTCATCGTCTGTTGCCACGGTCGTTATTATCATGCTGCTAACAAGACTACGCCACTAACAGAACCACACTACTAATAGTGCCATGCTAACAGAACTACACTGCTAACAGTAGCTACCATGCTGCTAATAGTGCCATGCTAACAGAACTACACTGCTAACAGTAGCTACCATGCTGCTAATAGTGCCATGCTAACAGAAC